AGTCATTGTAATGTAACACAACCACACTTCTAGAAAACTATGTTTATAACATTTGTGTAACCCTAAAAATTGCACACATCTTCTCTTCATCCCAATAATCAACCCCTAAAAAAGTAAAATTCAATTTGTGCCCTAGATATGCTCAAAATGAATCATCAACCAAAATGAATCTAAACCATCTATTTGGTAAATTTCAAGATCTACGCCTTACGAACTCAAAATTATTTTTTCTTTTTCAACATTGTTCATCTAATGATAATAATGTCATCTAAAGAAAATCGGAAAGGAAAAAAAATCCTTCTAAGATCTAGATTTAAGCATCTTACCAAAATAGACAGCTTATGTAAATTAAGTTAAAAATATATTATTTAGAGTGTATTTTCAATTCATTTATTTTCCATTAAAATAAATGAAAAGAGTATATATTTAAAAATTGAAGTCAACGAATAGCACAAACATAATTTTTTAAGATTGTTTCATTATATTTCAATTTAACTTTTAAAGATTGTTTCATTATATTCCCATATCAAACAATCCAGTCTGATCAAAATCGAAAAGCACAAAGTATCACCAAAATCGCCATAGAATTTCAATGAACATTATTTGATAGCTTTATATATGATAGCAGTATAGGTAAATATGATATATCTTCATTCGTAATCATACTCTTCCTTTAATATAAGTATTTCATGTACATGTAATTATTTTATATTTCAAATTTGAGCTTCTCAATGTAGATTAACAAAATAAGTGAGTTGGATTTTGTAAAGTACAGCTAGCAGAGGTCCTTGGCAATTAGAATTGTGAGTTCCAATTATAATGAGTGACTCAATATCTGTGAGGTTTACAAATAAGGAAAGTATATAATGAGACCATTTACCTCGAGTACAAGGTGGTCACAATTGTTTTTTATTATTGGATGTGATATTGGGTGTCTGCAGCTATTTTATTGATCAAACTCAAAGTCTAAAAAAAAAATTTTCGAACTTTGTAACACACTCAAACTATAAGATTTCACATCTGATGATTGTAAATAATTGTAATCTCTATATATGAAAGATAAATGGTCTCATGGTATACAAATTATTAGGATTATGTACTGGAAGGCCATATGACAATATAGTATAAGTAAACATTGAAATGTGGTCCTTAAAAAACCAAGGATGATTTGATTAGGGTAGAATAGTAGCTTTCTTGTTATTTAGTACTTGAAATTCTACAAATTTCAGAAATACATGAGAGTGAAAACATCGGAATGGAACCACTATATAAAATTTGTGACACAACTAGAACATATTGCATCAAGGTAATTGATTTTGATGTTTTAGCCTCATGGTTGCAATGCTTGGTAACTTAGCACATTATTTGTGTTGCAACTTGGGTACACCAATTTGACTTTTAAAACCAGGCAATGAGCCGCGTGGCCCGGCCCCAAAAAGCTGGGGCTTGGGCCAAGGCCATGACAGGACCAGCCTGGCTCAAATTAAACCGGCCCTTTTTTTCTTTACAATTTTTTTTTTTTTTTTATTTTCTAGCCCATCCCAGCTTCGCTCTAAGAGGGCTATGGCCGGGCCTGGCCTCTTTGACCCGATCAAGGCCGGGTTAGGCTAGCCCAGAGAGAAGTACCGCCAGGGCAGCCGTCAGCCCTAAACAAATGCTGTCACATACCTTAAGATAAGGTACATATCTAGTAAACATATTAATTATGCTCCTTGCACTCACAACTATAGGGTTCAGATATTGACCCATTACTTGGCCAATTTGTTTAAGTTCTCTCTCGTCATCTATGGGCAGTGATTTCGTCATCTATGGGAAGTGATTTCATGCAATCCGATGTATCATAGTATAACACACACTCTCTTCATCTCAATAATCAATCCTAAACAGAAAAAAGTTCAATTTGAACTTTAGATATGGTCAAAATTAATCCCTTCTAACAACGAATCTAGACCATTCATTTGATGAATTCCAAAATCTTAACCGTTACAAACGCAAAATTATTTTTTTCTTTTTTTAACATCGATCATCTAATGATAATAAAGCCATCTAAAAACATAGAAAAAAAAATAAAAATTCCTTCTAAGACCTAGATCTAAACATCTTATCAAAATACACGGTTTATGTTAATTGGGCTTAAAAAATACTTTTTAAATTTCTTTTTTATTTTTTATTTTTATTTTTTGTGATTGCTCAAAAAAAATACAAATTTCAAAATGTGAATCAAACAAATGGCTTGGTCTTTTAATATTGTTGCATTATACTACCATACATGAAATCACTACCCATCAACTATTCATTTCTCTCTCTCTAATACTTCCTCTCTCCTCATGTCAACCATGTTCAGTCCCTGGTATTTCTCTCTCAATTTCTTTACGCTCTTTGGTTTTCTCTTTCATCATTTTCTCTCTCTTGCAATTTCTCTGGGCAACAATTGATTTAATTCTTTGCTCCAAACCACTTCTTTATGCACGATTAATGGCTTTCCCTTTTCTGCAGTGTATCTTGCAACTACAGTGACCTGTTTACCAGCAAATATTAAAGCCAAGACAGGGGAACCGGCAGAACTTACAACCTACCGGAGTTCGCGGCGTCGATCCGTACGCCTTGGCAGGCTTACTGGTGACATGCATTGGATTAGGTGTTATAGAACCCGCCTTCAATGATGCGATCGGTTTTACGAACAATTACACATGCTTTTATCACTGGTGGCTGGCCCATCGCACCAGAAAATCCTGTCATCTTCCTCTATGCTGGCCCTAGACCTGTTAGATTCACTTCTGTTGAAGCCAGACTTGTGTGCTCCGAGGCTTTCACATCTCCTCTTCCAGTCATGAATTCATATTGTGAAGCATCAAGTACGTTTCCTTTTATTGGTCTGTGCCTATCTGAACATGAGAGTTAATAAATTTAATCGCTCTTTCTCAATTGTGTTATTTCGTTTTAGTTGCACAATTGGCGGTCCCACAAGGCCAAATTGCACATTTGGTCTCGTGAGAAAAACACTACGTGGAGTCAAGTTTGGCACATGTGAAAATATTTTCGTAAAACTATTTTCACATGAAAGAACTCCCCATATATGATTAACTATAGGAGTTTTTTCATACCAATTGGTCCCAGTGCATATTTTTCACACTAATTGCCAGCTACTTGGTATGATAAAACTCCCCAACCTAACCTACTCGGAGGAATTCTTTCATATGAAAATACTTTCACGAGAATATTTTCACATGTACCAAACATGTAATCTGATATCACCTATGTAAATTATTAATTGTTCTCTAATCATTAATAGAGTTTCCTCGACTTCTTATAAAATGATTATTCTACTCTTATTGATAACAAAAAAAATACCCTTCTTAGAAAAGTTTCTTTATTATAAAGCAGAATAACGAGTGTCCAATAAATGTTGAATATGTTGAGTAAAAATTCCATTAGAGGGAGCAACCTAACATAACTCTTTAATTTATTGTAAAAGGATTACATGCTCCTACAAGAGCAATGTTTAGGCATCCTCCCTTGGGCAAAGACCCATATAGGAGAGTAGTACATAAGTGTTAACACGAGTGTCATATTTAATACATGTCTAAAGTGTCATGTTCTTTAACGTATAAAACTATAGGGGCAAAACACGCCCATATACAAAATAAGATAATTTGACCCTAAATAGTTAGAAAAAGGTTTTGATGATGATATAATTTTATCTCACATTGCATATAAGTTACAGGGCTTAGTGGTAGAGATGGGTGGTTCATGGTCAAGTGGTCCTAAGATCGGTAATTTTTTATTTTGAATAAGATAATGATGATTTCTTATATACAGTACGATTTCTGTTTTACATTGCAAATAATTATTGCCGTGGCAAGAGTCTTAGAGCTTGGGGTGTGCAAGAGTCTTAGAGCTTGGGGTTTACATTCGAGAGGTCCTAAGTTCAAGTACGTCTATGAATTTGAGTAACTTTTTATATTGCTTGGGGTATCCGTACATGTCGACACACAGCACCATTTAAATTTGGAGTATCTAGATGAAGTATGGGGATATAATCGACACATTTTTGCTAGTTGCTACCAATATGAAAATATGACATTCAAATTGGATCTTTCTCGAATTTTTACCACCTATTCGATTTTAGCCCACCCCAATTAGTTGGGAAAAGGCTTTGATGATGATGATGATGATCTAAAGTGAGTACTACCTTGAGAAATTGCAACATGTATCCTTAATTGTCCATTGTCAGCAAGGGATGGTTGCGATGATCTATTCCTCCTCGTTGAAGAGTGGTCCTGATGACTATTCCTCCTCAATGGATTAGACAACTCACATCCAGAATGGTTCATCTCGGTCGTCCGATGTTGCCAATACACTATTGAGGAGCCATGTAAGATTTCTATTTTTTTTTCCTTTTTCTTTCTCCTATTATCATAATGTATTATCTGAACCATGCTTGTGTTCCTAGAAGGTAGCATATTTTTAGCTCCACTACCCTGCTGAAAAAGGCTGAAAAAGGCCCCAAACGTGACTTGCTCAAGCATTTTTTTATTCATCAGAAAGATATGTCATGAAACTTTTCCTTTTTCTGTGATTTAAACTAAATTCTGGGAATACGTCCTTCCGAAGCATCTCAATTACAGCATTTGATTTTGTAGAGTTTACAAGAGAATGTGGTGTTTGCCTTGCCATTCTAACCTCTTGCTCCTCCTCTTGTAGGCACTAGATTGTCTCTTTGCATATAAGCTTTGCAGAGTGCTCGAGCTCGTCTCCTCGTTACCTGAGTTAGATACTCCTTTTCGTCTATCAGCCTTGTGGCTTGACTCGGTAATTCACTCATCACCTGGTCTGTAACCTCTTTCATCACCCTTCCCTGTACTTAACTTTCCTTTTATAGAAATTATTGGTACAGTCACTGTAACCACCTAAAAATGGGAGGGGTATCTGACATCTACTAGAGTTTCATGATGCTTCCATTAGAAGAGAATGGATAAGCTTGACAAGGATCAGTTGGATTTTAACTGAATGAGTTTGTTGGAACATGAAAGATGGAAATACCATGACAATCTTAGGTCCTTGTTCCTGGTATCTCGAGATGTAAGAGACACGCCCTAAGCTTCACAAAGACACTCCGAACAAGAAGGTCCATTCATCTATTCTGCAGTTGAGCCATTATTATCTAATGGCTATACATGTCATAGAGAGTTTTCTCAAGCAAGATAGGGAAGAAACTCTCCCAGATGTATGCTTTTGATTATTCATGAACATTAGCCTTATGCTTGTAAAGCTGTTTCAAAGTGCTTGGTCTTTCAAGACATTGGCCCCTTGCAAGTATTTCTCCATTGAGCACTTAGATGGTTTATACGGGTTTGTGCAACTATCCCCGAGTTGAATACTCGACAGTTCAGACATGGGACTGATTTATCAATTCTGTTGATGAGCTCTGTTGTGTCCAAGTTAGGGGGCATGTTCATATGCTTTACCAAAAAGTAACACTAAAAGCAAACATGCCTGCAAAGTCCTGGACAAGAAGGTCCATGCATCTATCCCACGGTTGAGCCATTATTGGCTCTAATGCATTGAGACATGTTGCAGAGACTTCTTTCAAGTAAGATAGTAGGAGAAACTCTCCCAGATTTTTGATTTTAATGGTTTATAGACATTAGTGTTATGGCTATAATGCTGTTTCATTTCCAAGTGTTTACGCTTTAAAGGCACTGCCTTTTTTCCAAGTATTTCGCCATTGAGCACGTCGATGTTGTGGATATGGGCAAGTGTCCCACAGTTGAATACTCAGACACTTCAGTTAGGGCCTTACGTATCAATTATGTTCTTGAGGTTCTTTGTGTCCAAATTATGGGGCCCGTTCATATGTTTGCTTTCTTGTGCCCTAGTTATGAGACCAGCTCATATGTTTTTTTCGTTTGCTTTTTCCTGTTCAGGAGGTGAATGACTTCTTGAGCGGACCTACACATTCCACCAGTAAATTAAAACCCGGATCGATCGGGTGAACTGACTATTTGGGAAATTATTGATTCTCCCAACTGGGGAGAATCAGACAACAAAAACTAAAAAAGATTGAAAAAATAAATGAATTAAGAAGATGATAAAACAATGAAATATGTGGGAACCACCAGTTTTGCAAACAAGCTCAATTCCCAGTTCTGTCCATGGACCGGGTCGGTTCCAACCAAGAACCGATCTGAATCGGGAAAATTCCAATCAGCAATTTTTTAAACACTAAATGCCCGTGCTGAGACTAGGTGTTTGGGTGATTGTCATTTTTATTTATACTACCTTTGATCACTTACATTAATGCTAAGCTGTTAGAAAATTTGGACATGGGTCAATCTATTCATATGATACCATTATGGGTATAATGCTCAACAATTCATCTTTTATGGGTATCTTGAAAATTTTCCCTGCATAATATTGACTTAAGATAAATATAACACCAGTTTTACTTAATTTCTGATACTTTGCCGGATATTCATTATACTTCCCCTTATTTTTGAAACTTGTCTTAACCTTGTGCCATATTTCAATATAAAGTAAAGATGGAAGCCTGTGAAAGATTATCCATCAAAGAAGAAGCAAAAATCCTCCATTGGATAGTGTGAGGTTTTTGTGTTTGTATGCTTGCTTTGCAAGGTCTTAACCTAATTTGGAATTCAACAAATTCAAGTAGGGCTCGTCTATCTTTCCGGAAAAAGTTTTCTTTTGGGATAGGGTTTTCGAGGGTAAAGGCTTTGGCAGGAAATTATTTTCCCATACTTGTGTTTTCCTATGTTTTGTAACTTGTCAAAAAGTCTCCGAAGTTTCTTTTGTTTGGTAACAAGTTTGGGAAAATTAATTTTTTGCGAGTATTGTTTTTTATCTCTTATTAGAAATTTGATCAATTAGATATCAGTATCTACTTAATGAAGGTCTTTTTTCTAAAATAAACATCCATAGAAAGCTAATAAAATGGACAGTTCAAATCATAAGTTATATTATTAATAATTCATCATCATCATAGATTCAAACCTTATCCCAACTATTTGGTATCGGCTTGCAATATTAATAATTATTCTTTCATAATTTAATCTTAACAGCCTCTTTAATATTGAAAAGAACGTCGGGTCGGATCAGAATCGCCCGATCCGACCCAAGAGCTAGTGGGGCCATACCGGTTTCCAGAATATATTGGGAACCAGGTGGTTCCCACTAGGAACGGGAAGATTTCCTAACAAAACCTGATTCTATCAGGGAACCGGCCGATCCGGTCCCACATTTTATTTTTTCTTATTTTTTTAATTTTTATTTTGTTCATATTTTTTTATTCTTATTGGATTCTCTCAACAGGATCACCAATCCGGATCAATGATTTGCCGACCCTGGACCAGTTTATCGGATGGCCGATTCACCCCTGCAGATCTGGGTATCTAAGCATTGGCTCTCTCTCTCTCTCTCTCTCTCTCTCTCTCTCAGCCAAACAAAAACAAGACACGCACACAACAAGCATTGGCATTATACGATATAATCAAGAACATCAACTAATTACGCAGAATATCAAAAGCCACTGCAAAATATCTAAAAAAAAATAGAGTACACTTGAGATGTCGAATTACTTATCATTACGTAAAACAAAATTATTATTATGCCAATAAGTATTAAAAATAGGCATCTTCATTTACCTGTGATCGAGATGACACTTTGGTGTTGTTCCATATTCTTCTTGAAATTTTCTGAAGCCTCTGATTCCTGTGGTGTGCAGAAAGGACAACATGATACTCCCTTAAATTTATCTACATACTGATAACATTCTTCCCAAGATGTATCGATGCAAAGCCGATGCCTTCTTCCCAACATGCATTGATGCAGGGCCGATGCCTGCCAAAACTGCATAATACTTTTTCATAGTCATGGCCTATCCGAAATATCCAATAATTCATAAGGTGCATGGATAAAATAAAATGATTAACCATGCAAGATAAAGATAAGAAAAATATTTATTTCAAATAAAACCTTGTAGAAATTCAATGAGAAAAATGACATCATTCAATATAACCAGGTTCGAGTCCTTCATTCAAATGTACATAAATCCAACATATAAAGCAACTATAGAAAAAAGAAAATGCAAGTACAAATATAATATTGAGCATGGTCCATAAAATTAAAATAAATGCCCCATACCCTAGACTATTGTGAAAAGGTTCAAAAAATAAAATGTCACATTTTCTTGAATTGCCTATCTAGCCAACTCCTTCGGAACCTAGGATCTAGAGCTAATAACATGTTAACTTTCACTTGATTCTCAAATAGATCTGTAGCCTTCATATACACTTCTTCAGGTAATTCTTCTTTGTATTCCTCTTCCACAATTGCCAAACACTGTCTCTCTCTACTCGGGGTAGGGGTAGGGGTAGGGGTAGGGGTAGGGTTAGGGGTAGAGGTAGCGGTAGCAGTCGCCATCTGCCTCATAGTATCAATCACTGCACTCAATGTCTCAGTTACCTGTTGAGTAAGGCCAGCTTGTATCATTCGAGGCACTACTAAGCTGGAAGACCTTCGACGCTTCTTACACGCCGTTGAAGATGCTCGGGCATTACCACCCGAGGAAGATGCCTGAGACACCTTCTCCACTAAGTCAAAGATGGGAGATCCAAAGTCAGCAGGAGACATGCCACCAGTCAAATCATTGGGAGTGGCATCTCCCAATGGTGTGTTCTCCTTGAGTGGAGCATCATGACCTGTTTGACTGAAGCTCCCGTCTGCAACCGGGTCTCCAAAACAGATGGCCATATCTCCATATTTGCGCACAGCCGTTTTTCTATACTTGGCAGCCCATGCGTGTTCCTGCACATTTAAAGATAAAGAATTTTGTCACATAAACCCGAATCGCATATATACAGGCAATAGAAGCATAAAAAGACTCACCTGAATGAAATCATCCCAAACTGCCTCATCTCCTGTCACCATCTTTGTCTCTTCATTCCACCAAAAGCCAGACTGTTGGAGGAGCTGTTTTACATTGGAATACTGACCTTTTATTGTTTTCAGCCTATTCCTGAGCCTATCCTTATCAAAATCCTCCCCATATTTGGCTTTCATTGCTTTTGTCATAGCATTCCAGGCATCTTTATGGAAAACCCCTCCCGTCTTCCGTCCTCGGCTAACCTCATTGACCATAAGATCGATAAAATAGTCATCCTGATGGGCATTCCAATAGTAGTTTTTGTTTTTCTTCTCAGTGCGAGGGATCGAATGAAAAGGTTGGGTATCCATACCTAAATTTTGGATGTATATGATTAGATAACAGAATGTGATTGTGCTTGTGGTCCTAAGGTCACTTCTACCATGAGTGTCCATGATCATAAGTTACATAATTCAAGAAAAAATAGCAAGTGCGGTGCTTGTGGACTTAATGCCATTTCTTTGGTCGCACCTAGATGGTGTTCCGATTGGTAAGGAATGACATTCCCCAATTGCACCCAATGACTACATCTTATACAACTTGTGGCACCCAATGCTTCGACAAAATGGAACCAAAGGCAAGAGTTGAAGGCCTAGAAAACAGGGAGCACTTCTTCTAGGTCATTATATGGACAGTAAAACCTTACAGAAAACATACAGCTTTGGATCATACAAATGATGAACAACAAAATAGAGATACCTACCACCCAAAAAAGAATAGATAAACTGGCTGTTATCTCTTGTTTCCTCACTAATTATCTGTTCTTTTGCTCACTAAGTAGTTATTTATTCTTTAAGTTATGTTCCATTTGACAAGAACCTATCATGTTTTCCATGCTTGGGTTAATACATTGATGTAAATTGTCACTAAATAAAAATGGGTTATGTTAGGGTGTTCACACTATGGCGTAATTTATCATTGCAGTTAACAAATTTTGGACACTTATATACCCTTGTTTTATACGTGGAGTTTTTTTTTTGTAAGGGTATTTTTGGTCATTAGGAAAGATGTGACGTCATCTACATAGGGTGTGACATTACATTAAATGCCACTAGTGTGCTCCATGTGGATGATGTCACACCTCATGTGGATAACGTCACACCCATCTTAATGACCAAAAATACCCTTATTAAAAAATGCTCCATGTACAAACAAAGGTATAGAAGTATTCAAAATTTGTTAAGTACAATGATAAATTACTCCATAGTGTGAGTATCCTAATATAACCCAATAAGAAATAGATTCATGGATAGCGTTATGAGTCTTCTATAGAGTGCCTTTACAGAACAAGTTGCAAATTTCATCACCAACATTAACCACGATTACTTCTGCAAATTGCCAGCTCAGATCAGACAGTATTATTGTACATGTTATGTAATGTTCATTACTGATTATTCATGTGTATCTGTAAGTCAAAATCAAGTTGTATCAGTGATTATGTCCATACATGACTGCATGTAGGAGCTCTAGCCCTCATTTCCATTAATAACCGATTATTCTCTTAAACTTAACAGCATCAAGTAACAGCTACTCTCCATCTAAGTCATGAGTACCGCTCATATCAAAATGTGTACATTGTGGCATCAAATCAATGGGAACGTAACCAAAAAGAATAAGATATATATGTCTATATAAGCAACAGTAGAGGTTTTTTTTCCATTTAGATATACATTTCTAAATGGGGATGTCATTCTGATCTCACCACAAACTAGTCTATATTTTATAACATAAAAACCTAAATTATAATAGAAAGTAGCTTCGTTCACTATCAACTAGCATTCCAAAATTCTGGCAAGTTCACTCCGACTCGGCAGTGCATAATACAAGTACGAACCTGTCAAACTCCGCCAATTCCGACACTTTGATATCATAACTAATACAGACTCAGCCAAGTCTGTACGAACAACTCAGACTTGAGACCTTGCTGTGTCCTAAGTCCACACCTTGTTTTCTGAACATTGCTATCAACTATGAAATAAATAACCAACCTATGTTTATTTTGAATGCTTAAGAGCAATATTATTTCATAGGAAAAGAGAAGGAAAAAAAAATTTCAGGAGAAACAAAGAATCGCGCTAAACTCCGGTACAACCCCATCCCTAACCCAAAATTCCACAAGGAAATCAAAATATAAAATCCATTTTTACCAAAATTCACAGTTCAAACAACAAAAAAGGAACCCCAAAACAAAAAACTAATTTAAAAGAACAAAAGAAACAGAAATTGGGTATAAACTATAAAATGAGTGACTCATTTAACTTAGAGAGTTATATGTCTCTGTGTAAAATTCCTACAAGACTACTATAATCTAAAATCTCCACCAAATGTTTATTTTAGGGTTTCAACAACAGAAAAGCTCGAAATTTACGCAGACTTGAAACACTATAAACATAATTAGTTACGAAACTAACTGAATTCCACATTTATAAAACACAAAGGTAAAAGGATGGAACTACCAGCTTCTATTATTAACAGTAAAATCAAGAATGCAGACACATATAAAAAACAGAGAAATAAACTAAAAAACCAACTAAAATGAACGAAAATCAAACTACGAAAACAGAAAAATCTAATTTGTACCTGATACTTGAAGAATTTTCTTCATCGAACTCGAACTACTAAAATCTCAAACTCGTATTCTGCAATAATGAGGATTAGGTTTTAGAGAAAAAGCGTTTTGCAGAGATTAGGGTTTCACAAGCTGATATTAGAGAGACAGCAGAGGGGTGAAGAGAGAGCCCTCTGTGTGTGTCAGAGAGAGGGAGAGAGCTCTCGTGTGTGTGAGAGTTGAGGGAGAGAGAGAGAGAGTGGGAAAGAGGGCTCTGAGAAAGCAGCTCTCCACCTGGTAAAGCGCTCTCCCTCTTTCTTGTGTAGTTGCTTTCCCAGCTACAGTTTACCACATGAGCGAATCTGCTTTTCCAGCTGCTCTTTTCCCTTAAAGGTTTTTCTGGAAAATACATACTCCGAGAGCTATTTTTAGGGAATGTTAGTTCCGTATGAAATCACACCAATGGGTTGTTATATGAATAATATGCTCGGACCAATTGGTGTGATTAAAAATATGTTGAGATCATTGGTATGAAAAAAACTCTCCTACCTAATCACAATAAGGAGTTTTTTTACATTTTTTTTCACTTTATTTGGTATAAGTTTGGCATCTTATATAAACTCTTTTTCTTTTGGAAATGGAAAAAGTTTATATAGAGCCAAAGCTCTAAACAATCAAATTTGAGCCTACCTCAAAAGTTTCAGTAGAAGAGGTTGTTTTGATGCCCAAATATCCTCAAATTGATCATCTCCACATCAAGATGTATAGACACGAGAAAAAAAAAGATTTCAAGTTTTGGAAATAATGTATTTTGTAACACATGTTTTGACCGTCAATATTCAAGATTTTCAAGTTTTCATAGATCTATTGATCTACACTATTTGTTAAGCTTTAAACTTTATAAATACAAATTAAAATATATTTTAAAGCTATCACAAAGATTTCTAGTATTGAAACCACATTTCTCAATACTATTTGAAAGTAGGCTCTAATTTGATTGTTTTAAGCCTAGGCTCTATACAAACAGCACCTTTTGTAAATAATAGGATTTTACTTTAAAAAAAAGCTTATATCATGTGTCGTTACGCTATAGTAGTAAGGCGCATCTCAAAAATACATAGAAAAGGTTGATTCAATGCTACAAACCCTTTTAATTGATCATCTCGACCTCGAGATGCATAGATATAAAAAATAAAATAATAATAAAAGATTTCAAGTTATGATAATAATACATCATGTAATGCATTTATCTAGACTGTGCATTTTCAAATATTTATAGATCTGCTCAATCACATTTTGTTTAGAGCTTTAAATTTTATTAATTGGGTGAATATAGTTTTTTAGGCTATCGCATTGGTTTTTTACTTTAGAAATGCATTTTTTGGCACAATTTGGTGAAACACATTACTATTATTGTTTCAGATTGGTACTTTATATAAGACGCACCTTTTTATTTTTTACAAAATGAAATCCAGAGCTGGATCTGTCCCTGGTTGAACATATACAATCACCAATTTTGATCAGTATCGCCCTATTGAGTTAAAAAAAAAAATTTAGCATAAAAATACAAATTTATGCTAAAAAATTTGAACTTAAAAGTAAGAAAAATATATGATAAGACCTTTTATTTTTAATACAAGGGAGTGACAATGCCTTTAGTAATTGGATACGAAATTGAGCGATGAGGGTTTGCTTTTAGTTACAATCAAAGTTCCAAAAGAATTTTTTCAATTTTTGTGATGTATTCCCGCCTTCAAATTTCTCATGCTACATGCGGTTGTGACCTTCTTGTACCAAATGTAAATGGTTATACACTTTTTAATGGCAATTTTTGAAATACTACACTATACTTGTTTGAAAAAACTGCATGATTCCTCCGATATGCTAATAGCAATTTTTGAAATACTATACTATACTTGGTTCTCTAATTGCATAGGAAAAGTATACAACAAAGTTAATTTGGTTTTGATATAAGGAGTTCAAAATCTTTCTTGTCCTTCAAATTTCAAATCAGATGAAGATGGTCCTAACTAGACTCAAAGTTTAAAAAAATTTCTTGAGCCCCATAACCCACCCCAAGCCATCCAATGACATCTGACGGCTAGAAATAATTGGGACCTCCTTGTAACAAAGATTAAAGGTATACAATTTTAATTGGGGATTGTATACAACGAGACCATTTACTTTTGATACAAGGTAGTCATAATTATGTATAACCATTCGATGTAAAATTTGATAGCTTGGGTGCGCCACAAAGTCCAAAAAAATTTCGCTTAAACTTTGGTTTTGGTCAATAGAATAAATACAACCACCCAATATGACATCAAATGGTCAAGATTATTTGTGACTATCTTGTATCTAATGTAAGTAGTCTCAGTGTATACTTTTCCTTTAAGATAACGAAGAGTTAAGAAAATTTGGAAAAAAAAAAGACAATAAAAGAACAAAGGAAGTTTTTAAAAGGTCTTTTTGAAACACGTTATAAAAGAATGTGAAGGTCTTTTGAAAAACTCAGAGCTTTTAACAGATGTCAAAAAAAAAATTAAAAAAATTTGTGCTTCACTCAGATAATTGCGTTGGACATACCTTTTTAATAGGGAATGCTGCAAAATCTTTTCAGTATTTGTTTAAGGGTGAGAATACAATACATTTACTCATCCGATACAATCCCACTTAGTATTAATTTTAGGATCCAAAATTTCGGGGATATAACCTCTTTAACACATACATTAACCTCATATTAAAAAAATTCACCAATTGCACCTTATAAGCACTTGAAAACAATAATATCTCAAGATTGAATAAAAATTGTCCAATTTTAAAATATAACATCTAAGTGTTAGAAAACTCAATTTTTGTTTTCTTTTCTTTAGAAAATAATCATCTAGTAATTCATATGTGGTTCCTAAATTTTTTTATTCAAAAAAATCCTCCCAAATAGGTCTTATAACCAAGGGAGTGGAAGTAAACTATGCTCCCGAGGAAGCATTGTTTACATGCTCCTGTAAATGTAGTCATCAAGAAAAATAAAAATGAAACTATTTACCTTTAGTACAAGAATATCGCAATTACCTATACTTTTTAATAATGAAATTAGATGTATGAGATATTTACCCAAAAAAAAATAGGCATATTGAGATGTACTAAAGATTTTTTCATTAAACTTTGTGACATAGCCCTAACCTGATTTTACATCTACCAGGTAAGAGTGGTTGTTACCATCTTGTCTAAGAGATAAATAGCCTTAAATACACAATCTCTTGAGGAAATTTAGAAAAAAATCATGCAACTCTCTAGGGCAAAACATAGATTAGTTTAACATAAATAAAAGTATTACTTCTGAGTATACATTAGGCACATTATCTATTCTGTACCCCTTAAGACTGCAAAGCGCCACAAAACATGAGTGGGGTAACAAAGAAAGGAAAGCAAAACACCGTACAACAACTCTTTTATGTAGAAGAGTAATTTGAGAGGATTCTTTTGATCTGAAATTTCGATTCATCCAAGTATCATCAGATGATTATTTAAAATTAAAAAAATTGAATTTTAAGTTCTTGACCACCTGGATTTTGGCCTCTTGAAAATAGGACAGCTCTTGTTAACGTTTAGTTTTTTGAGGCATATACAAAGCCCTATTTGATTTTTTTTTTTTTTTTTTTGAGATTATTTGTCAGGTTCTAGATGCTACATTCTCAAAATTAGGGGTCCAAAAAATATTCCTAACATGAGTTTTACCCCGAGTGAGCAAATACACAATATGCTTCCGTGGGTGCAGCAAACCTTTTCACGAAACAAAAACTCATTTTCCCTTTATTCATGAATAAAAGTAAACAAGAAGACACCTACTGCTCCATCCAAACCCACTCTTAGACTTCAATCATTTTGCCCGTTAACATGATGAGGTAAAGGAAGGTTCATTGCATTAGGAGACAAAAGAGAGAGGGAGAGATCCTAAAAACATGGTGAGATAAAAGAAGGTTCATTGCATTAGGAGGAAAATAAAAAGAGAAAGGGAGAGATATCTTAAAAATAGGAGAGAGAATCCACTTAACAACAGTTAAAGAAGATAAAAACATGGAGAGATAAAAGAAGGTTCATTGCATTAGGAGGAAAAAAAGAAAGAAAAAGGGAGAGAGATCTTAAAAATAAGAAGACAATCCACTTAAGCACGATTAAAGTGTTGAAAAACTTGAGGGAAGAGATGGACCCACTCCCAGGATTGGGAGCAGTGTCGTGAGATTATCGATCGCAGAGAACAGGTTTTTACCATAACTCTGTAAATTTGAGACTATCGATCGCAAAGAACAGGCTTTTACAGAACTCTGTAAATTTTTGTGCACCTCTCTATAGCTGTGAAACCCTTCTTAAGGAGGGATGAAGGAGGCCGTGTAAGCATGGGAAGTGGGTGGTTACTTTCTAGCCGTTAGATAACGGTCTTTTCTCTCTCTAATAAGCCTCCCTATTTTAATGATAAGCATTAAATTATAAGAGAGAGAAATATTGCACGTTTAAAGGCCTTATGGCCACACGCACTTACCAACATCATCCACTTGACCATGAGGGCCAGATATATTGAAATATCATAAAGTCTTTATCACTTAATGAATTTGACATTTATGAAACGCAAGTGCGGTTATACATCTCATAACAAAAAATATCCAAAGTTATGTCATGGTTTTTCACACTAATGCGATTTTTCCTCTCATGATCAAGACATCAAAAAAATATCTCATTTAGGAGTTCTTGACTTAAATATTTCTAAGTCTCATCAAAGCTACATGCTTTGAGAATATTTCTGCACTCAATCTCTTCGTTAAAGAGTCTGCAATCATATCATAAGATAGTAAATAACTTACAGTTATTTCATTCTTTCCAATAATATCACAAATATAATGGTAATCAATTTCAATGTGCTTACCCTTGGAACTATAAGCTACATTTCTAATTGATGAAATAGTAGCTTGATTATTACAAAAAATGTTAACATGTTTGTCGGTTATATCCAGCTTCAAACCATTTATGAAGCGTTTAATCCAAACATCATAAGTTATAACAATGCTACAAGCAATATACTCGGCTTTCATAGTGTACCGAGCTACACAACCTTGTTTCTAACTAAACCAAGAAACACATCCACCTCCAAAGAGGAATACAATTCCTGAGGTTGCTTTTCTATCATCTGGGTCTCATGCAAAATTTGCATCAGAGTACCCAGTAACCTCTAAGTTGCCAACTTGAAAGCATAGCTTGTAATTTTTAG